ACACACTCTCTCTCTCTCTCTCTCTCTCTCTCTCTCTCTTTCTCTCTCTCTCTCTCTTGTCTTGTTGGAGCTACTTATAGTGTCAGCAGCAGGCACTCATCTCTCTTTTTCTTTTTTATGATACTCTCATACTGATAGTTAGAAGGCCTGTCCTTGATTAGTGTTTTACTGAGTCACTGTCTTTTGATAAGGCTCCAATCGATGGTGTCGTTTTGCCAAGGATCAGCTGAAATATTTATCTGGGGTGACATATTGTCATGGGTTTTTGCTAGATCTGCTAGTTTTCTGCAGGTGAAACAACCTTGTGAGAATTATCAAGTTGTTTAAGTTTTATATGTTTAGTATAATTTGTCGTAGAACTCTAAATTCTCAATTTTAAGGGCCTTTTTTTTTTTTTTTCTCTTTTGGTTGTGGAGCTCAAAGGTTTCATTTTGTGGACATCATGTTTTGATTGATTAGCTTTAAGGACATTTCATTTAATAACAGTCATTTTTGTAGGAAAGGGGCTGGGGTCGTGGTGGTAGCATCCCCACACCTAGTTACCACATCATGGTATCCATTCCTACCTCTGACACCCCCAATTAACACTTTCAAAATATAACTCCCTAATCTATTGAAAAAAACGGGTAGGGGCTTGTCTTTCCCACTGAATTACTGAACAAAAAAAAAATGTCACGCTCTTTTGAGAATATTACTGGTGCTGATGGTGTTTACAAGATTTTCCTTTATCTACGTGTATGGAGAACTTCATGTGTAGTGAAAGATCATGCATTGCATGTTGCAAATTGCTGGTTTGCATTTTATTCTAATTTACTTAGTTTCTGTGGTTGAAGCTGAAGGCTTTTGGATCATAGAAGGAGTCCTCCATGTGGTAGACTATGAAAACCAATTTCTTTAAAGGTATTGTTTATTTATTTGCCTTACTTGCGCAGGGACTAGACCTCTCTATGACTCATTTGCTTTGTAAATCACTTGTTGGACTTATTCCTTTTATGGACTTGTAGCCTCACTTCATAGTATCTATCCTATTTAAATTAGAGTTCACTGCTTGATCTGTAAATTAAAATGCATCTTTTCTTCTAGCTCTCCATTTGGCTTCTATGTGAGTATTTGGATCCCTTGTTTCACTTTTTGTTTTTAAATTATTTGAGGAATATACATTTTGTGAGTTACTCACAGCTAAAGAAATATTTATCCCTGTATATAATTTTAATTTTTTTGATGACTTGATTCTCTATATTAATTTGGGAAAATTGTATAATTTTCTGGATGTTAATAACGAAAATGCCTTTTGTTTAAAAAATGCTAGCCTGTGAAAAAAATTTAGGAGGAAGGTCTGGATAAGTAGAGGCCTGCTTTGGACCCCCCTACTTTTGCTAGTGTCTGCCAGGGCATTCACCTCTTTACCACAAGCGCCTAAAACTAACTTGTTGTGAGTGATAAAACTTGAAAATTCATCGAAGATGTGTTCTATATCATTGTTATGCATGCCAACGATTTGGAAGAATCATTCAACCTTTATAGCATCAGATAGAAAAGGCCCAGAGCTTTACAATGGTCGCATTGGAGGAGGATTTAGGAAAAAATCCCCAGTTCTAGATGCATAGGCAGAGAGTGTAAGAGAAGGTTCTCGTTACTTTATTCAACACTTCAACACATGAAAGAACTATTAGGAATTTGTTACCCACATCTTTGGAGGTGCTCCACTATGAGGAACTTATCTACCTTGGTCCATGGACAACTGCATAAAGAAGATGACATAGGGAAAGTCTTGGAGATCATTGAAAAGCAACCCATACTATCCCATTTTTACAGCTTATCAGAACTTTTACGAGGTTTGTAATATCCTTCAGGTCATTTCAAGAATTAACCTAACTCCTCTTATCTACTTGTTCCTGAGGTTCCTTTTGAAGTGAGAGTACCACAACTGTATCCTGTTATCTCTATGCACAACTTCTAACCAAAGATTCGAAAACAAGTGTGTAGTTGGCCAAACATTGGGATTGGATGTACCATGGATCAACACTTCACCAGACATATAGTAGAAAATTGACTATACTACTAAACCAACCCCCCCCCGCCCTCCCCCTTGAGTCTGGAACCTAATCCTATGGAGCAAGTCCCTTTGTTGGCCCCCTAGATTCTACTATGCAATAATTATCCATGCAATCCTCAACAAACAATCATGGAGCAACTGAAGAGAAATAATGGAAAGCAGCTCTGAGTTGGTTGCTCATGGTTTATTTGAAAAACCCTAGGGTAAACCTCTTGTATCTCATCTCTTTCTTTAAACAAGCATCATGATTTACACCCTCTGATGGGATTTTAGGATTTTAAAATTTAAATAGGCCTAGGAATCTGTGATTTTCAGCATTTTTTAGGATTACGGTGGGATGGTTCAAGCAGAACCAAACCTTTAACAATAAAACAAGGCCAAGCCCAAACTTGCAAATTCCTTAAGAAGGGACCTACAAGTACGGTACAATGCGATAATATTTTTCAATTTTTAAAGTGTCCCTGACAAGCAATTAAAGAAGAAGAGACTCTTTGAAAAGGCTACCGTTTATTTCCCACTCAAAACCTTGAGAAACCCACCCTTGAGGTCTTTTGAGCAAGGATTCTTTATCTTATTTTATTCTATCTTTAATGGTTGGGCCTTTAGGGATGCCTTGACACCAATGCCTAACACTTTCAGTAACTAACAGTCTCCATAACTATCTTGTAACAATGAAGAAATGATCCCCATAAGTATCAAATTGACATGAGTTTCAAGATTTGTTGTAGAAGGATCTGCACATGAGAGGACATCCAGAAAGACTAACTTTCATACAAATGCAATCACATAGATTACATACTCTAATGATTTCATTTTGAATAGAAAAAAGCATGTCAGTGATTCCTATAATGAAGCTTAGACATGGTGCTTTTGAGTTGAAATCCTCTCTGAATGAATTATATTAGAACTCCTTCGAGGCTATGTGACAACAACTCAAAAGAGTTTCACTTTTAAAGTGAGGGAGAATTCCATTAGAAGTTAGCCTTAAGAAATTGGAGATAACGGACTAAATCACAGCAGCAGCCAAAAACTTCATCCGTCAGTGGCTTTATCACCGACTTTAACCCTGTTAGACAAGGCTTTAAAAAGAACTGAAAATTTTAGAGCTCAGGCATAAACCTGTGTGTAACTAGAAAAATATTAATAAGTATATATGCTACATTATATAGCATGGTTATTTGCCATGAGCATACATTAATTTTTGGAAACTTGGAATTAATCTCTAAGGACCATGCCACTGTCCCTATGATGATCTACATAGTTTATTTCTCAAGTGGGATAAATTTTGAAATCTACGAAGAAACTTTTATCTGAACAAACTTGTGGAAATCTCATTCAGAAATTCTGCACAAAATGTGTATGAGTAAAACAGAAGAAACAATCATTTAATCCCATAGTCCAATGGAGGTCCAGTTCCTTGCCTGGCTGGGAATGTGAAAGACATTGAACAGAGTCAATGTTCCTTAGTAGGGCAAATGAGGAATGAACCAATTGATAAAACTTGGGACATGTTTTACATGTGCGGTGTGAATTTTATCATCACTTCGATTTGGATGAATTTTTTAGAGTAGGGGATTTTCTTGTCATGGGATTTCAAGCACCGTAGTATTGGAACCTTGAAGTAGGTGTTTAAAGTAAAACCAATGGAACCTGGAGCATACATAAATTGTTGGAATTAATCTGGAGACATTGAGAGACTAGTAGGCGTGCTTGCTGGAGTTCTTTTTCATCTTGTTATTATAATAAGTAGGCATATTTGCTGGTTGAGAAGAATATATGTTTTCAAGCTTCAAATTTATTATCATATCCAGATATTGAGGATCCAGCCGGAGAGATTTGGGTTGGGAAAGGCAATAGCATACCAAATAGTTGAAATTGACTGACTTGGTGAATGGTGAGCAACCCCAAACTATTATTTGGAGGAAAACACAGTAGCAAGAGAGCCAGGTGTTTCCAAGTAAATAGGCGACACTAAGAAAGAGGAGATAGATGTCCTTAACATCAATGCTCCCATATGCAAATCTAAACAACAGAACTATTCCTTTATTATTTTTATATCATTTAAATGTTAATGTGCGATTGGGACCATAGTTACAGGGATCTACCAACCAGGGGGTCGATTCCACTCCACAATCCCAATTCTGAGCTCCGAGGAAGGGGATCTTGCTCCTCTATGATTCTTAAATTTTGGAAGCTCGATCCTTTCTATTGAGGTCTTAAGTTACATGAGATCTAGATTCCCTAGCATTATGGTATAGTATAGCAGTACGGTATAGCATAGGATGTGGTATAGTATAGTAGTATATATGGCAATATATTATTGTATAATAGTGTGGTATATTGTATTTATTTAGGATTTCAGTGTGGTATATTCTTGGGGCCTCACTTTTTATCCAGATGAAGCTTAGTCCTATATAATCTATCACTCGGTCCCAATTAAGTCGGGATCAAGCTCCCCCACTAATTAAATCGGGGTCAAGCTCCCCCACATATTGGGATCAAGATCCCTTGATTTGGGGTTTATGGACTGCGATCCCTACTTTAGGGAGCTCTCTACTTGTCATGATCCCAGGGTCCTAATCCTGATTCCAGTAACTATGGTAGGGACACTTGTTCATGACCCTATGTCTTCCTATATTCCTCTGTTCATTATTTTAATGTCTTCAAAATATATGGAGGAAATCCAAACTAAGCCATTTTTGCCCAACTGTCCTGCTTGTGTTTTGGAAGGAGTAGGGGTGGCAATGGACCCGACTAGACTCTAGACCTAATGGGTATACCCAACCTCGGGTCTGTCTGGGTATGGATACAAATTTTGGACTCGAATACTATTCGGGTTTGGGTCCAGGTCTAGCCGGATCCAACATGTACCTGTAGTCATAGGGTATATGATGGCAATCATGTGCCTTTAGGCGAGCACTAGGTGTTCATATTGTCACAATATTGGCAACATTTACAGTATTATTGGCAAAAAAATGGGAAAAAAAAAGAAGCTCATAGTCATAGGGTTTATGATGGTAAACAAATGGGCAAAAAAAAGCTCATAGTGATTGGTGGCAATGGATCCGACTAGACCCGGGAGCCGATGGGTCCGGGTATGGGTGCAAATTTTGGACTCGAATACTATGCGGCTCTGGGTTGAGGTCCAGCCGGACCGGACCCGACCCATACCCGGCCCTTTGCCACCCCTAGGAAGGAGTTGTTCAACAATGTCTCTCTTCCTAAAATTGTCTTGAATAGACCATTTGTTTGCTTGTACAGATGCTGGCATTCGTAGATTTGCACCAAATTCCAGCCATAATT